GTGTGTGTGTGTGTGTGATGTAACGCATCATGTTTGTATGTAAGGGTAAATGTTTGGAGGTGTTCGATAAGAATATTATCTGGTTACCAGCTCATCCGGTCCCGTTGATCTCATTCCTGAGGTTCACATAAAAACCAACCTCTTAGGATGTTGCAATTCAGCCTGAGTAAAAAAGTGTTTCAAAGCATATCCGAGACTGGCGGATAGCAGCGATACTTTTCTTGTGAGCTCCTTTGTAACGCTTCACCACTTTTGGTGTACCAGTGTGGGTGGCAAGACTCTAACACACTTTTTCTTACGTCGTAGCAAGATTCGGATTTCGTGGTTTATCCATGGAGGACAGTGTTTCCGTCCCCTCATGACAGTCGACGGAATGAAGGGTTGCGTCACTCGTGCATATAACTGTTTGAAACAGCACCACTGAGGCTTTTCGTTTGACTGTCCACTTCTCCGAAGAGGCTGATAGGTTAATAGCTTCCATATTCGCTTTCTATATGTTTGGTCTAGCTGGGCATCGCCCTGGTACAAGACGTCTGCTGTTGATCGAATGGTACGGAAGAGAGGTCGTTAATTTAGATTAAAAACATAAGAATATTTCACATTTTATGAAATGAACAAGAAAATGCCACTTTTCAGCATATACAGTGTCAAAGTTTGGATCGTTTCCAGTCAAACTTCCTTTTTTCACCATTAGTGACACCACGGTTGCTCCAAAAATTCCAAAGTTCCCCTACAAGCAGTCGACCCGTTTGATTCGTCTTTGAAATGCCCCGTTACGCTAGATAACGGTCTACTTTACCATAAACTCTTATACTTATAGCTTCGGAGACCAAAAGAACCCACACTGAAGATGTCGAGAATCCATACAACTATGTGATCCAAGTGGATATCTATTCAAGCTATGCAGCATGCTGACAATCATATCTGCTGGCTGTCCTACTATTTTGTATGAGGGCTGAGGAAATTGTTGTTTCCACTATCCTGTGGTCAAGTGAATTGTTGTTAGTCTGTCCCAGTCAACCGGTGGTGCGTTGAAGTCTCCTGCAACCAGATATCGGCATTTGTGTGTCCAGAGGGTCAGCTTATTCAGCGGGAAGACTGTTGCCTCACATTCAGGAATTCGACATGTCATGATTACGTTAACATCTTGGCCTTTGCATTTCAGCCGGTAGCACAGCATTTCACAAGTCCCACTTTCATGTGAAACTGTTTCTATGGCTTATACAGTTAAGATAGGCTTAACGTAAATCATGACACCACCATCTTTGCATGCTAACCTGTCACTTCCAGAAGGCACAAATCCTCGAGAGTGTGTTTCAGGGTCACCGATCCAAGAAGAGAGCCAAGTTTCTGAAATAGCCTATCACAATACTAAGCTCAATCCGCTTGCTCAAAAGACTACTTGCATTTGCGTACACGACTATGAAACCACTTAAATGAGTTTCCGTCCTATCCATGGGGACTACGGCACCATTACTGAAGTATTACTGCCAAATTAGCGACCTGATGAGTGATAGGATAAGCCTTCCGGGTTTCAAAATAAAGTCAGTGTGAAATTCTGCACAATGAGACAAGGCTTAGGAATGAATAGTGATGCATCGCGTGATACATACTCAACTCTCTTAGAGACTCACAAAGTGGCTGCATCTGGGTGACAAATCGTGCATCTTGTACGCTGGTGCTACTTTTTGTCAAATAACATAGAAATACAATCAAAGGCAATATTGAATCCAATAATAATCATGCCATGAAGCAACGACTTGGATTGGTTTGATCGAAAAACCGGATAAGAGGGTGGTTCAAGCTGCTGTCAAAACTTCTATAAGATGGACAGACCTATTTTAACTCACACCCTTTCACTTGCACCTACTCTTACGCGCCTGTGGTTTGCTAACAGTTTACCTGGAGTGATAACTTAAACATTAAGAATACCAGGAGTGTGGCTATTCGAATTCTGGAGTAAACCAGAGGTTACTGGCTCGAACCCTGATGTCGTCTAAGTTTCGTTTCACTTTTAACTATAATTCGGCAGGGTAAAATAATTAAAATTTGTGAGATTGTCGGCAGAGATCAATAGATTTTGCGTTCTGTATTGCTTCTTCCCTTCTTTTTATATCCATAAACATCTAAACAATTTGGGGCTTCCTGGCTGATTAGGTAAAAGCAGGTGACTATATAAAACATCTGCTACCAAAGTCAATACACGACTATCAGCAACAGCTAACTGCCAGAATAAACTCGTCTTCGTTTCTGCCCTTCAGTGTGCCAGGTGGCATAAGAATATGTGGTTTGAGTTGAGATAGGGGTTTTCCAGCTGCTTTACCTTAATGGTCTGCAAATGCTCATTATGTTATGATTGATTCGGTACGATTACTTCCAACTATTAATCTCTGTGATGAGCATCCCACATCATAGAAGTATCGCAGTAAGTATAACCCCCCTGAACAAGCTATGAGTAAACGGTTACACGATAATATTTCGAGAGGAGAAGTTAATTCTCTCTGTTTCAAGTCAATTTTTAATGACTGAGAATGCTTCCATGTAAAATTGAACACAATTTCATGCTCATTTAGAACCCATTTACTTTCACATGGAATCAGGTTTTGTAGTCCCGAAGTAAACAAATTTTGGTAACCGAATATGCAGAATCAAAGAGGTATCATAACTTAAACGATTATCGGTAAAGTAGATTAGTCTCAATGATGCTGAGTTCCATTAGCTGGATGACTTAGCTATAAAGCCTCTATCCGATCTCCTCTTGCAGTATTTGCACTCACGTCCAAATTGGTTCACAACTTCCCACTAGTGTGGGACTCCTCAGCAGTTTGCACTGAAGATACCATCAGGGATCCAAATTCACTTTATATTTAGTGCTCATAAGTGACAAGGTTCGAAGTGAGTTTTCCTGAAGTTCTCATGAAAAATCGTCATCTATGAGGTCGGCCTAACCGGATGCGAAGAAGAATACTCCCTCATGGCATTGGATAATGGTGACGCCCTATCATGAATTCAAAGGTATGAGAAAATTTGAAACTAGATTTAGAACCCACTGGCTGCATGCTAATACACTTACCAGAAGAAATGATGCCATTCTGTTCTATCCCTGGTGAAATCTTGGTAGTCAACTGTTGAAGGGTCACATACTACGAAGGAACAGTTGCTCAGTGTTCTCAGATTTTCAGTGGCTCTTCAACAGATATCATTCTGTGCAAAACAGCATCTGGAGATTGTTATTTTATTCTAGAGTGTACACAGCTGAGCAACCAGCATGACGGACAGACACATTCCTATCATAAAATGAACAGAACACAATTGTACACGATTGGTTTAAAACTAACTCATAGGTTCCCACAGTATACTCACATTGTAGTAATCATTAAAAAGACTATGTGCATGAATGATATTTATGGAAAGTGTCATTTACATGACCTTGAAGGTAACAAATGGCCTTGCACTTTAACAAATTATTACCTCCTAATTGGATATAATATTGGACACATTTATCTATATCTTGTTCAACTAGCGTGTAATCAGCTGAATGAATTTTATTCTTCACTAGTAAGTGTGTATTATGCACCTTTCAAGTTTTGCTTATTTCTGAACATGAACTTTACTTCGACCTGTTATTTGGCTGAGTCAATTCACATGTGAACAGCAGATTATAACCTTCCATGTTACTTCGTGTTTTTGAAGTGTTTATGGATTTTTGATGGGGAATTATCATATACCTATTGTTTTAGTTTTCAGACTTCACTGTTAACAAGAAAAACTCATCTTCGATAAATGGTAAGTCCATCATATTTACTGGTATTTCTATCTCACTATTGACTATCAACTAGAGGGTTCGATTCTCGTTACACCAATTGAGATCACCACAAATAGGTAGTGGTATCATGAGTTATCATACATACCATAGGTGTGGCTCATTGCAAACTCCATCAATGTCTACAAGGTTGTTGAACATATTTCGATTTCAATCATATTTGTATCATGTTGGTGAGAATTCGAAATCGAGTTTATCACTTCAATGTTAAGTAGTTCGAACAATCAACTAACACAAGTTTTCTTCAACTCACACATGAGAATGACTTCTACGCCTAGTTCATAAAATAACTTCAAATACAAAATAACTTTGTTTAACTAGATTGTGTCAAAAGTGTACTCGATTTTGAAGTGAAACTGCACACTTTACTTGACAAATTACGACAATTTACATTTAACTAGGAGAATACTTAGAACACCATCATTTGTAAATACACATTGTCAATCATCATCGAATCATCAATCTGACATTGTGAATAGTGAATGGTCACTTGAAGACGTTTCGCATATTCGACCTACTACATAAGAACAAGATGTGTAGATATACATATTTGATGGTCTGTGATAGATATTTTGATCAATGGAAAGATTTTCAACGTCATCCGCTAGTTGACTAGGATGATAAGATGATGGTTCAGTAGGATGAAGAAGATTTGTGGGTGAGAATGAAGATGATGGTGGCTTGCTGTTCTCTCAGTTTCTACTTTTCTGTAGTGCAGATTTCAGCATCAAGTTAGACGAGAGCATGAGTGACAAGTTAACAATGAAGTGAGGTATTCTCGAATGTTAGATGTATGTTAATGTAGTGCATGTGTGGACATTGAATGTTGTCCAATTGGAGAAGGGATGTTTATCACAATCTGACTGCTTGGACATTATGTTTTATTCAATATCTTTGAAAAATAATCTTTGGTATTGGTACACAAGTGAGTGACTTGAAATTAAATACTCTTACCATAATCACATGAAGTGAGTTCACACGTTGTAATAAAATGACACAAGAATGAGACACTATACTGTTTTTCAACACAAGTCCTCATTACTTCATTCTTCCCTTTCAATATTCTCAATTTTATCATTAGAATTTCTCAGAAATTGTCGCGAAAATCTTGGAGGACTGGTGGCTATTCCTTATAGTCTTAATTTCCTTCTACGCCAATTTAAAAGTTCTGCGTTTAATGATCATCTTATTTAAATATTCTTTGGGAAAAGTTTGTTGTTCCAAACGAAAACTACTCAAACGTGCTGGTGATTGGGCTATTATAACTGGTGCATCTTCAGGGATTGGTAAAGCATATGCAGAAGAATTAGCAAAAGATGGTTTGAACATTATGCTCATTGATAGAGATGAAGATAGAATGTTTTCAGTTTCCAGTGAATTATCAGTTAAGTACAATGTGGAAACTAAATTGGTTGTTGCTGATTTCACAAAGGTAACAATGTTCAATGTTTCATAGTCATAATGATCTTTCATACTACTTTCATACTGTTTAAACCAACGAACTGATGATTTGATAACATGCAGAGTCTGCCGGACACTCTGTGGTAAACACATATTGTTGATGGAGGATTGGTCTTCAATGGTGCCCCAGTGCGGCCAACAATAGAGAGTGCAGTGGTTGCGTGTGTAGACCACTTCACTTATCTGGGAAGTAAGATCAGCCCTGGTGGCTGGTTGGCTCAGTGGCCGATGAAATTTCTGCACGAATATGAAGGGCTTGACTGGCTTTCGCCAAATTTAGCCACATGTGGCACAGCTGTGATATCCGATTGCCTATTAAGGGTCGTTTGAACTGCACAGTAGTCCACTCTTTCTGTTCTACTGTATGGCCATGAAACATGGCCATTGAAGGTGGATGACATGAGAAGGCTGACTTCAGGTGTTTGACCACCGTTGCCTTCGTAGTATGGGTCGTTTTCTGTGGTGTCACCACGTGAGTAACACAGAATTCAGGTGTAGAGATTTAGAGGGAAGAGGTAAGTCGGTTGACGAGGTTGTGAACCTTCATCGATTGAGATGGTTGGCTGTTGGTTGAAGTAGGTTAAGGCTTAAAAAATGCTCGAGGCGGCCAGACTAAAACATGGCACCAATGTATGAAGTCTCTGACTGTTGGATTAAGCCATGTGGAGCGATGCATACTAGCCGGTTGGGGTCCGTGGTACAAGACAAACCAATGGTTGGAGACTCTGTGTGATATGGCTCAGAACCGATGTCAGTGGCTCAGATGTATACACACATTATCCTCATCTTAACAACACTATGGTGAATCTCACCATTCTCTCATTTTTCTTTCTATATTTCAGTACTTTGTATTTCTTTTGACTGGGTTTTGTTCACTTCTCTCGATGTGATTTCCATTATGGACTCACTGTGTGACTGACATCAAATGTAGAGTGATTGAGTACATGGAAGTTTAGCTCTTTCGTCCTGATTTTGTATTGCTCAGTAATACACACCAACGACTCCACATGCCATCGTGTTTGTGAGTGTTAGCTGTAATGATGAGCATGTTATATTTCATCTACTGAATTGGAATTCAGTTGTCTGCATTCTTATCCATTGCTGTCAATTCACAATGTAGCCAGACCACTTTTCAATATCATCAGTTACTATTCATACTGATAATCAATTCACTTGACTGTGTACGTCAAAGCATCTCGTCAACACTTCGGTTATCCATCTTGAAACCGAATAGAAATGAGAAAGTGAAGAAATTCAACTTGTGCTCTATCAAATTTGATTGATTTCGAGATAGTGCTCATCATTGGGATTTGCATATCATGTTTATAATTGAAAGGGTAGTTTGGATGAGATGTTTTTTCACAGCATATGTTTGACTATCACTGAGGAAAGATTGCTCATCTTAGATCAGATATATTGAGTAATGTCAGTGGATTTCTTACTCCAATAACCCATGTTAGATTATGAACACTATTCAGAGTTTTACTAAGTGGAGGGTTTCGCAGTGTCACCCTAACTCGAAACAACGATAATTAGTTGAGATTTGTGTTGTTAGATTTATCCTTACCTCTCATGTAACGTTTGTTATGATGAACAGAGTTACTTTCAAAATGAGACATCGTTCATCAAGGCACGATGCTCAAGGAAGAGTAGTTATAAAAATGATAATTTCAACACTGAACTTCATGACTAAATCGACACCAGAAACAAAGTACACCAACACTATGAAGTTGTAATTTGAAACTGAGAAGACAGTTAATTCACATCCTACATCAATCAATCTACTGATGGTCTGTAACAGTGGAGTTCATAAAGTGTGTTTTCAACTAGTTGAAACTCGTCATCTCAATGTATCTATGTAGATGTTCATATTTCAACGTAGACTGATGCTCACGGAAATCATCATAACCAGTATTAGATTACCAGTAGTTTCAGAGAGTCAGATAATTAATTGAATCACTCACTTGAGTCCTTTGTATCAGAAATGCGAACTAATCAATGTCTCAACAGCACTGAAATCTTTTCACAGATGAATAAGATTATAGTTGTGCTCCACCACTCATAGACAGTGAAATATCATCGAGATTCTCCTTGTGGAAGTCTTCAAATATCTATCCACTATAATATACGGTTCATTAACTCATCATGTCACACAACTCCTTGGTGTGGGAGATTTCACCAGTGTGCACATGAACAATTACCTACAGTATGAAAGAAAACCGATCTCAGATTGTGATTCCTTCAACCTATTAGTTAATTAATTAACAAAATGTTTTTACTATACATATTAGGTCAAGACACTATGATTTGTGCTTATTTGAAATATACGTTATATAGTTACCAGTATAGAGGATGCTGCATATCACATGTCTCATCTCCATAGTTGTCATGAGTGTTCACCACTGAGGATCTCCATGATAGGATGAGACATCTATCGATTCCTTCTAATTGTAGCATCTTTCAGCAATATTCATTAAATATTCCAACTGTTCATTTGATCAACGACAGTAATTTTGCTCGAAATATTACCAATACACAGATATATCATTATGTGAAATCGTTTCATTCAAAATATACTCTTAATTAAATAATCCATTATAAAATGCGAAAACATTCCTTTGATATACTTATCCCTTAGGCTTGTTCATTCAGAATTCTCTAATCCAACTTTATCTTCCACTCAACCTTCATAAATGAGGCCAAATATATTGCAATAAACATCTCGCCAAAATGTGAAACTCGATTTCATCACCAGGTTGTAGATACTACACTACATCACATCCCCAAATAACCTTCACATACACGAATAACCACTCACAGAGTAAAGTCAATCACCAACAGACATAATAAAAATCCTGTATGGTGACGACAATCCTCATCCTCCTGTATAATCGAAACATTCACTGATAATTGGTAGACACTATTCTGTGTTCATTTCGAAACACACCTACCTTACCCACAATCCATTCCACAAAATACATTAACCCATGATATCTGTGATGAAAATGTTATCAGCAGTATGGTAGGAGGATACTCTTACACTTCAAAAATCTCCAGCTCAATTTTCCATCTGGCACAACCACCAGCGAGGGAAGTTGGTGAGCATCCCCTTTGATGTTAAACTTGAATTGTGGAAACTATCTTTGAACCGATCGATTTTGCATAAACCATGCAACTGATTACTTCCTTCTTCGACTTCCAATATACATCTAGGTGTAGGAAACGTGGTTACTTCATCTACTTTGACGACATAAACTTACAAACATTCCTGTCACTACACCCATGATAAAACAGATAATATTATCGACAGTATCATGAGTAATTATAACCATTTTTCTACACTTTCCAGGATAATGTTTATGAAATAATAGAACCAGAGATTGAGAAACTCTCTTCTATCGCATGTCTAGTCAACAATGTTGGGATGATGGGTGAAACAGATTTATTCGCATCACCAGAATCGCCTGATAAACAGTTTATCAAAGACATAATCCACTGTAATGCACTATCAACAGCAACAATGACACGTATAGTAATGCCGAAAATGTTAACACAGAAAATATCCAAATCAGCCATCATCAACATCGCCTCCTATTCTGGTCTTAATCTCTTCCCATACCTTTCAATGTATGCTGCCACAAAATCCTTTGTTATTCAACTCTCCAATTGTATCTCTCAAGAAGATTATCCAAAGGACATTATGATACAGACTGTTTGTCCATTACTTGTAGCCACACCAATGTCAAAGATGGACAAGGCGACATTGTTCATACCAACTGCACAAACCTACGTGAAAAGTGCATTAGATATGTTAGGTGTGGAAAATCAAACCTACGGTTATATTTGTCATGATTTGAAAGCATTTCTCTTCGATCTTCTACCAAAACCAATATGGATAATACTAACAAAGGCTAGAGTGAAGTCAATGCAAAAGTATAGAGCTAGTAAAACAAACACTATTGAGCATTGAATATTTGCCTGTACAACATCTTCTGCAGACTATTGTTATTATTATTATTATTATTTGTGATTTGATTGACATTAAACTATTGAGTTGAATACTTTAGAGTTTATTAAACCTTCTGTGTAAAACATGTGATGTGTAAAGTGAATCGTTTTGTCTGGAAAAGTAATGAAACTCCTACTTTGACCTGTATTTTATAAAAATTTTATCTTTTAAACATAATTTTTCATGGAACATGTTTAAATTAACTAGATTTTTTTTTCGGTACTGTATTCGGTTACCAGGATGAATAAGATTGAGTATGGTTTTAAAAAATATCCGTAAAAAGAATTTGGCTGACTTGTGTTTCCAGTCGACTGTGAGCGACGGAATTGAAGCGAGTTATCCACACTTAATCGGGATGACCATTACAACGATTCAAAGAGATGCGACTTGCGGGTTGGTTTTAGTATGAAAATCACTGGGGAACCCAAACATAAGTAAATAACAAATGATACCAGTTGCACCTGGTTGAATCAAATTTTAAGCTTAACATTGTAAAATCCTTTCGACAAACCATTAACGAATTAACTAACTAATTGAATTAGGAACGTGTTAGTTCATGTCTATGTCTAATATGTCGTACAAACTTGAAGATCTACAGGCGAAAACTAACAAGTTGACAGAAGAGGCAGAACAGCGAAAACGGGACTTCCTTCAAGTGAATGTAGAGAAGATGGAGGTGATGAAGATACCAAACCACCAGGACCACCACCAACAACAAGAGGCACCAATCACCATTAACGTGAGAAACCTGAAGGAAGTAGTCTCCTTCACCTACACCTACCTAGGCAGAGCAGCATCGTTTCAACTACAGGCAGCTCAGGCACAGAAGAGGATGCCAAAACCAGGATTGGAAAGACAGCAAGATAGGCATTCATCAATTTGAAATCAGTGTGGAGATCGACTACACTCAGCATAAAGCGTCAACAACATCCAGATTTTCAACATCAATTCAGTCAAGTCTTTGCTTCTATGTGATGGTTCAGAGACTTGGTGCGTTACGAGAAGCGTTTCCAACAAACCACAGATATTAATGAACAACTGTCTACGCTCACTAATTTCTGAAGTTCAGATGGCGAGAATAATAAGAATAAGCAACAAGGAACTCTGGCTGGGCAACGAGAATGTAGTCGAATAAAGTGTAGATATATTGGATTTGACATGCACTGAGAAGACCATTCAGGGACACCACCCTCCAAGCCAGGCCCTAGAGTGGAACCGAGATGGGAAACGGTGAGTTGGCCTACTGAGCCGTGGATGACATGAGGAGATGGTGTGAGGAAGAAATGACAACTTGTGAACAGTTGCGGAGCAAAGTTCAAAAGACTGCAGAGAAGAGAGTGGAATGGAGATGTGCAACTAAGGCCATATGTTTCACTAGGAACCCAAGGGAAAATTAATAATAAATAATAATCATCATTTGGTAACCAGATACTATTCTTATCGAACACATACAAACATGATGCGTTACATCACACACACATAAGCACAAAAGATACTGTTTCAAACAGTTATATGCACGAGTGACCCAACCGTTCATTCCGTGGACTGTCATGAGGAGACGGAAACACTGTCCTACATGGATAAACCACGAAATCCGAATCTTGCTACGACATAAGAAAAAGTGTGTTAGAGTCTTGCCACCCACACTGGTACACCCAAAGTGGTGAAGAGTTACAAAGGAGCTCGCAAGAAAAGTATCGCTGCTATCCGCCAGTCTCGGATATGCTTTGAAACACTTTTTTACTCAGGCTGAATTGCAACATCCTAAGAGATTGCTTTTTATGTGAACCTCAGGAATGAGATCAACGGGACCGGATGAGCTGGTAACCAGATAATATTCTTATCGAACACCTCCAAACATTTACCCTTACATACAAACATGATGCGTTACATCACACAAACACACACACACACACAGATATGCACAAAAGATACATAGTTGTAACAAAAAAAGGGAAAAAATAAACACCATCATAATTCTGGTCAGTTCAAGAAAACTTCTCATAACATATTCAATGCACTTCTAGGTCAATTGTAATCATCCTCATTAGTACTCAGATCACTCACTTATTATACCATACAATATATATATATATATATCTCATCAAACAATTTTATAGTACTGTGAATTTTAGTGAAAACCTTCATACTTACTTACTATGATTATTAGGGTAAGGTGAAATTTTCATGATAAACTCTTTTTATCATTCCACCATTTCTTTCTCTCTGTTTTCTTTGTACTTTGGTTAATATTTTTCTTGAGAAAAAAGAATTCACTTCTCATTAATAATGTAAAAATTTTTTACAAAGTTTATGCATGTTATACAAACTGTAATAGAATGAAAATGTATTTTTAAACATTAAAAATAATACACCATTCAACTGTTTCTAGGCTTCATCTGACATTAGTCGATGATGAATACCAATTTGATATGGATCAATCAATGAATTCATTGAAACCTTCAACCTGAATTAAATAATTTACTTTATTCTACAGAATGTTGAACTATCAGTTTGTTATTGTATCTATACGCCTGACTGACTGATACATATTAGTAGTATAGATAGTAGGAATGGTAATTGTGTGAAATGATTATCTTACAACAAGATGAACTACTCACTCTTCAACTTATCCATATTTTTCGTTTGTATTGTGTTCTCTGATCAAGGTTGTTTAATAGTGAAGCCTTCATCGTCTTGCTGGATGACCAATTTGTTGACTTATGAGGCACCACACCAATTCCACCAAGTGGTCGCAGTAATCTGTTCGTGATCTCTGATATATTCTTTATGTATGGTAGGCTGATGCATTTGCTGAGTTCTGTCGATGACTTCGTAGTTGATGATACATCGAATAGGCATCTTCTGGTGAAGTTTCGTGGGTAGCCGTTCTTCTTTAGGATGGAAATCTCGTTCATTTCAATAGAGTCTGCAAGCAACTGATTTTGTATGTCGTTGGCTTGTTGCTCTGGTAGTTGAGGATTTCGTCAGTGTGTGTTGGCTTCCTGTACACTTGGGTTTCCAGCTCTCCGTCATGTTTTCCTACTGACTAAAACATCCAGGAGTGGTAGTTGGTTGTTCCGCTCCTTCTCCATTGTGAATTTGATGTTATTGAAAACGTTGTTGATCAAACTGTGGGTGTTTTCTACATCATTCTTTTTAATGATGACAGAAGTGTCGTTCTTATAGCGAATCCAAATTTTTGGTTTGATCACAGGTAGGATACTGGCTCCCAGTCTCTGCATCACAGCTTCTGCAATTAATCCAGATATCGGTGATCCCATTGCAGTTCCTTTCATCTCTTTATATATCTTGCCGTTGAATTGGAAGTATGTTGTCATACAAAGGTCGATGAGTTCCATCAGATGGAACAAATTCCCTCCAAACACTATTATTCAGACTAAAGGATGAAACAACCAAAGAAGACAAACCAAATATCATAGACAAAATCAACTGGAATAACTAACTGTAGTCAACACACCACATCGGACAAAGTGGCCACCCTCTTCACCTTCGTCTACATCAGCACCAATACGCTATTAAACCTCACACACGACATTTCGTCACCCATCTCAATGCATGTGGATAATAACTATGGACATGAATTCAATTTCGACAATGTGGAAATTTTCGAAGGAGAGAGGAAACACAAAGAAGTCTATACAGTTAGTCAATGAGAGAACAATCGAAGGAAACAACCAATCACAGACCATATCTTCAGAGCAAGCCACTAAATCATTCACGGAGAGATACTGACAGGTCACACTTCATAGTGAAGTTAGTGCTGACGATGTTGTGTTGGAGAAAGGTGATGAAAGGTTCTCGATTTAACAAAACCCAGCTCGGAGAACACAATACAACCAAGATTTCTAAATCCATTCAAAACTGTAAATACATTTTATTTCTCAGTGTTAATTGGAATCAAGACTTGGCTAAGAGTTTCAACTTGGTCAACTTCAGTTTAATGGAGGTTAAGTTAGGTGAAGGTCAGTTGATACAACACCAACAAATACAACTTGAATGTGTCATTGTATAATAGCGTAGAAACAATAAACACACCTGTTTTCAGCATACATTAAATGTTTATTTAGTGTGAAAATAAAATGAGCTTCTAATTTTTTCAATAATACTTGATATAGACATATTCGTAAGCCTCCTACTTTAGTAAAACTAACAAAGTGGTATGCATGATGTTGTAATGGTGATGCCCAATGATCCATTCTGTCAATCGAATACAGCTCTAAAGTGTTGTGGTTTTAATAGGCTATATTTTAATTATATTTAAACTTGAACGTAGAACTGAAAGGCGGTAAACTTCGCAGGTTGGCACACATTGGTAATCTTAGTAAATGACCTCATAGTAACAGAGAATATTTTGTTAACTTAAGCATGTTTCATGAAAAATTATGTTTAAAAGATAAGATTTTTATAAAATACAGGTCAAAGTAGGAGTTTCATTACTTTTCCAGACAAAACGATTCACTTTACACATCACATGTTTTACACAGAAGGTTTAATAAACTCTAAAGTATTCAACTCAATAGTTTAATGTCAATCAAATCACAAATAATAATAATAATAATAACAATAGTCTGCAGAAGATGTTGTACAGGCAAATATTCAATGCTCAATAGTGTTTGTTTTACTAGCTCTATACTTTTGCATTGACTTCACTCTAGCCTTTGTTAGTATTATCCATATTGGTTTTGGTAGAAGATCGAAGAGAAATGCTTTCAAATCATGACAAATATAACCGTAGGTTTGATTTTCCACACCTAACATATCTAATGCACTTTTCACGTAGGTTTGTGCAGTTGGTATGAACAATGTCGCCTTGTCCATCTTTGACATTGGTGTGGCTACAAGTAATGGACAAACAGTCTGTATCATAATGTCCTTTGGATAATCTTCTTGAGAGATACAATTGGAGAGTTGAATAACAAAGGATTTTGTGGCAGCATACATTGAAAGGTATGGGAAGAGATTAAGACCAGAATAGGAGGCGATGTTGATGATGGCTGGTTTGGATATTTTCTGTGTTAACATTTTCGGCATTACTATGCGTGTCATTGTTGCTGTTGATAGTGCATTACAGTGGATTATGTCTTTGATAAACTGTTTATCAGGCGATTCTGGTGATGCGAATAAATCTGTTTCACCCATCATCCAACATTGTTGACTAGACATGCGATAGAAGAGAGTTTCTCAATCTCTGGTTCTATTATTTCATAAACATTATCCTGGAAAGTGTAGAAAAATGGTTATAATTACTCATGATACTGTCGATAATATTATCTGTTTTATCATGGGTGTAGTGACAGGAATGTTTGTAAGTTTATGTCGTCAAAGTAGATGAAGTAACCACGTTTCCTACACCTAGATGTATATTGGAAGTCGAAGAAGGAAGTAATCAGTTGCATGGTTTATGCAAAATCGATCGTTCAAAGATAGTTTCCACAATTCAAGTTGAACATCAAAGGGGATGCTCACCAACTTCCCTCGCTGGTGGTTGTGCCAGATGGAAAATTGAGCTGGAGATTTTTGAAGTGTAAGAGTATCCTCCTACCATACTGCTGATAACATTTTGATCACAGATATCATGGGTTAATGTATTTTGTGGAATGGATTGTGGGTAAGGTAGGTGTGTTTCGAAATGAACACAGAATAGTGTCTACCAATTATCAGTGAATGTTTCGATTATACAGGAGGATGAGGAATGTCGTCACCATACAGGATTTTTATTATGTCTGTTGGTGATTGACTTTACTCTGTGAGTGGTTATTCGTGTATGTGAAGGTTATTGGGGGATGTGATGTAGTGTAGTGTCTACAACGTGGTGATGAAATCGAGTTTCACATTTTGGCGAGATGTTTATTGCAATATATTTGGCCTCATTTATGAAGGTTGAGTGAAAGATGAAGTTGGATTAGAGAATTCTGAATTAAAAAACCTGAGGGATAAGTATATCAAAGGAATGTTTTCGCATTTTATAATGGATTATTTAATTAAGAGTATATTTTGAATGAAACGGTTTCACATAATGATATATCTGTGTATTGGTAATATTTCGAGCAAAATTACTATCGTTGATGAAATGAACAGTTGGAGTATTTAATGAATATTGCTGAAAGATTCTACAATTAGAAGGAATCGATAGATGTCTCATCCTATCATGGAGATCCTCAGTGGTGAACACTCATGACAACTATGGAGATGAGACATGCGACATGCAGCCTCCTCTATACTGGTGACTGTATAACGTATATTTCAAATAAGTACAAATCATAGTGTCTTGACTTAATATGTATAGTAAAAACATTTTGTTAATTAATTAACTAATAGGTTGAAGGAATCACAATCTGAGATCGGTTTTCTTTCATACTGTAGGTAATTGTTCATGTGCACAATGGTGAAATCTCCCACACCAAGGAGTTGTATGACGTGATGACTTAATGAACCGTATCTTATGGTAGATAGATATTTGAAGACTTCCACAAGGAGAATCTCGATGATATTTCACTGTCTATGAGTGGTGGAGCACAACTATAATCTTATTCATCTGTGAAAAGATTTCAGTGCTGTTGAGACATTGATTAGTTCGCATTTCTGATACAAAGGACTCAAGTGAGTGATTCAATTAATTATCTGACTCTCTGAAACTACTGGTAATCTAATACTGGTTATGATGATTTCCGTGAGCATCAGTCTACGTTGAAATATGAACATCTACATAGATACATTGAGATGACGAGTTTCAACTAGTTGAAAACACACTTTATGAACTCCACTGTTACAGACCATCAGTAGATTGATTGATGTAGGATGTGAATTAACTGTCTTCTCAGTTTCAAATTACAACTTCATAGTGTTGGTGTACTTTGTTTCTGGTGTCGATTTAGTCATGAAGTTCAGTGTTGAAATTATCATTTTTATAACTACTCTTCCTTGAGCATCATGCCTTGATGAACGATGTCTCATTTTGAAAGGTAACTCTGTTCATCATAACAAACGTTACATGAGAGGTAAGGATAAATCTAATAACACAAATCTCAACTAATTATCGTTGTTTCGAGTTAGGGTGACACTGCGAAACCCTACACTTAGTAAAACTCTGAATAGTGTTACATAATCTAACATGAGTTTATTGGAGTAAGAAATCCACTGACATTACTCAATATATCTGATCTAAGATGAGCAATCTTTCCTCAGTGATAGTCAAACATATGCTGTGAAAAAACATCTCATCCAAACTACCCTTTCAATTATAAACATGATATGCAAATCTCAATGATGAGCACCATCTCGAAATCAATCAAATTTGATAGAGCACTAGTTGAATTTCTTCACTTTCTCATTTCTATCCGGTTTCAAGATGGATAACCGAAGTGTTGACGAGAAGCTTTGACGTACACAGTCAAGTGAATTGATTATCAGTATGAATAGTAACTGATGATATTGAAAAGTGGTCTGGCTACATTGTGAATTGACAGCAATGGGATAAGAATGCAGACAACTGAATTCCAATTCAGTAGATGAAATATAACATGCTCATCATTACAGCTAACACTCACAAACACGATGGCATGTGGAGTCGTTGGTGTGTATTACTGAGCAATACAAAATCAGGACGAAAGAGCTAAACTTCCATGTACTCAATCACTCTACATCTGATGTCAGTCACACAGTGAGTCGATAATTGATATCACATTGAAAAAAGACATATCGGCCATTCGGCTTCTCGAAGGTTTTCACCAACCGGTGTCATTTCGTCTCCCTGTTTCCAGCGAGGAATAAGTTGGTTTTTATTTTTATATTTTGTCAGTGCTTTGAAGTTTCTATAGCGGTCGGGTTGGTTTTACGGTGTAGGGTTGCTAGCCCCATGCCCAACCTTCCCTCTTTATCCGGGCTTAGGACCGGCTAGTAACTATTGAACCGGTTAGCCAGGCTAGGTTAAATCACACCATATCGCAAACTTTATCCATAATCTCAAATCATTTCCTCGGATTGGACCATTACATCAGTCACCCCCTGATGATCAATATGTGCACACAATCCAGTCCTATATATAGACAGTTGCGATCTGAGCAGCTTCACAATGAATTGTTCAACTTGAGCACAGCTCACGATAGGTTCTAATCACGAGGCAAATAGCAGTTTTGCCATGGTTACAGACATGCTTTTCTGATCACCATGGAATTCGCTTCCAGTGTTTCTAAATGAAAAACTCCCAACACCAAAATACAATTCATCATACCATCAATGAATGTAGTTCAGTAACTAAACTGCAAAAACTGATTGATCAGGGCTGAGCTTTTAGGTATCTACTGACCCAGAAAAAATTATCTTAAAGCAATTAAGTCTGGCATCTGCAACTAGTAGGAGTAAACAAAGACAGAAATTTAATCGCAGAGCCAATAAGTACTGTAAAGACATTCAAAAATAGAGTTACTTAAAATATATTGTTATTGGGTTCAAATTACTACAAATTTATCCGGCTCAGCATAATTTCAAGGATCGAATAATTTAATAACGACGAAAACTGTGTGGGAAACTGTCGGATATAGAGTAGATTGGCAATGCGTTCGGAAATAGAAGATGGGTTTCCCAAAACAATCTATTTGTCGGGTCTTAGGCAGAAGCAGGAGCAGGGTTAACACAGAAACGATTCACTGCATATTCCTACGCAAGTGATAACCATAGATACAAAAAATTATATTCATGAGAGATTGTTTAGTACAGGTAAACTTTAAGAAAAGTGTAGAAATGGATACAGAGAAACATAAACTTCAATTTGAGGATTTATGCAGTCTTCACAGGTGTTGCCCGCCACAGTGATTATCACCTGCTATCATGCATCCAAATCAACATAGGACCGGGCGTTACCACGTAACGGTTTGAGTTGCCACAGCTAGTATCAGTACACTAAGTGAAAACGCAATGTAGTGGAAGATGAAGAAAACAAAACTCAGTCGAAAGAAATACAAAGTACTGAAATACAGAAAGAAAGAATGAGAAAATGGTGAGATTCACCATAATGTTGTTAAGATGAGGATAATGTGTGTATACATCTGAGCCACTGACATCGGTTCTCAGCCATATCACACAGAGTCTCCAACCATTGGTTTGTCTTGTACCACGGACCCCAACCGGCAAGTATGCATCGCTCCACATGGCTTAATCCAACAGTCAGAGACTTCATACATTGGTGCCATGTTTTAGTCTGGCCGCCTCGAGCATTTTTTCAGCCCTAACCTACTTCAACCATCAGCCAACCATCTCAATCGATGAAGGTTCACAACCTCGTCAACCGACTTACCTCTTCTCCCTTAATCTCTACACCTGCATTCTGTGTTACTCACGTGGTGACACCACGGAAAACGGCCTATACTACGAAGGCAACGGTGGTCAAACACCTAAAGACTTCTCATGTCATCCACCTTCAATGGCCATGTTTCATAGCCATACAGTAGAACAGAAAGAGTGGACTGCTGTGCAGTTCAAACGACCCTCATTAGGCAATCGGAAATCACAGCTGTGTCACATGTGGCTAAAGTTGGCGAAAGCCAGTCAAGCCCTTCATATTCGTGCAGAAATTTCATCGGCCACTGAGCCAACCAGCCACCAGGGCTGATCTTACTTCCCAGATAAGTGAAGTGGTCTACACACCCAACCACTGCACTCTCAATTGTTGGCCGCACTGGGGCGCCTGTGAAGACCAATCCTCCATCAACAATATGTGTTTACCACTCAGTGTCCAGAAGACTCTGCATGTTATCAAATCATCAATTAGTTGGTTTAAACAGTATGAAAGTAGTATGAAAGGTCTGTAGCGTAACACACTTCCCCAAAATCAATAACTTACGGTTCGACGACACTCATCATTGGTGCTGACCATGATAATTTAACTGGACTCACTAAGCTGAAAGCACCCGATCAAGCATCCTGGCCATTTGGCATCCTGTCGTGTTACGTTGCACTGCTCGTATTCGACTCTCTAGCCAGTTAGTTGGAACGCATCGGTATCTTGGCACAACCACCCAAATATACTATTCCATCCGACTACGCTATTGTGTTCTTCCTTGGTCTCGTACTCGTGGGTATATAGCAAGTCTGAATAATTAGTGATTGGTTTTTGCGTCTGTCAAGTTCGCACCAGGACAAATCCTAAATTGGTGAGCCCGACGTGATCACATATCCCGACCAATAATAAATATTGAATTGGTGAGCCTGCCCCATTTTACATTTGTATATTGTTTTCATTTCGACAACATTTACATATCCACTTACTACACTTTCTCATGTCCAACCACACTCCCAAGCTTATTCGTATTAAGCCGACTACGAACACGATCCAACTCGTGCCATATTGGCCAGACAATGCGGAAACATGGTTTCTGTATGCCGAGGCAGATTTTCGAGAACAGGTGTCTCAGATCCTCATTCTCGATTTCTTGCCATCATGCGTTCACTACCGCGGGAATTATAAACAGGTATGTTACGGCACACATGTTTAACCTGAAGTAAGCGATCCTTATGCATTTCTCAAAGCCGCACTCTTGAAGAAAAGTGGTCTCCCAGATCGCCAGATCGCCTAGACGAATTATTTCGTAACATCGAGTTAGGCAGCCACTCAGCTACTGAAGTCCTCGCACGCATGCGACAAGTTATCGGCGCACGAACATTCGACAATGGCCTTTTCTGAGAACTATTTCTCTCAAAACTACCACAACCGGTGCAAACCGTGTTGGTGACACTGCAGTCAGTCCCACTCGATGACCTGGCAGCCTCGGCAGATAAAATACTGGAGATCTCTAGCAGACCCGTCTCCAACGTATATTGTGTCTGAGACAAACCAGAGAGCCAGGATTCAGAGGTGACCAAGCTGTGCAACTCTGTGAAACAGTTGCTACGATCTCGAAGACCTGGTTCACGTTGAACTCCACAGAAACGCGTCTTAGAGCATCGCAGCAACTCTCGTGGTTGCCCCAAAACTAAACCTAACAGGGTAGAAAACCCTGAATGGTGCTGATTTCATAATACTTACGGAGACGAAGCCAGAAAATGTCGGAAACCATGCAGTTTTAAGAAGGACACAAACTCGGGAAACGGTCACGCCGGCAAGTGTTCACGGAAACCGTAGCCGGCGGAAACAGCTGTTTGCTCTACGTCACCGACATCAAAACAAAAGTTCGCTACCTCATCGACACCGGCGCAGAAATTAGCGTTCTTTCAGCACCGACAAAGGACAGTCATCATGACCCATCCTTCAATCTCCAAGCAGCCAATGGCAAGGCAGTCGCGACGTTTGGGAGATGGTATGTCCACCTCAGCTTAGGTTTACGTAAATCTATTAACTGGATTTTCTTCCTGACTGACGTTTCCATGCCCATCATTGGCATAGATTTGTTAAACCATTAAGATCTACTCCTGGATGCTAGCCGTCGACGTCTGATAGATAACAACACAATGTAATCTATTAGCGGCACCACCTACGTAGTTCCGAATTTAACCCTCGTTAGAACTAAACAGTCAAGCGACGCGTCCTACCAGGCAGTTCTGGAGAAATATCTGGAGTTACAACAACCGAAGCATACTCTTCCGTGCATAACCAACAATTTTATGCATGACGTCACAACCACAGGCCCACCTGTGGCATCCAAAGCTCGGCGTCTAGCCCCCGATAAGCTCAAAACGGCGATAAGCGAATTCGACCGCATGCTCGAAGTGGGCATTATCAGACAGTCGAACAGTCCTTGGGCATCACCATTGCACATGGTTCCCAAGAAGGATAGCAACGACTGGCATCCAACCGGTGATTAGCGAAGGCTTAACGCCAAAACAACACTGGCGGATAGCTCATTTATCAAAATTTTGACGATGTGCCTGGTAATGCACAGTTACAACAACCATCGGCGCAACAGAAAACACGATCAGGTCGAACCGTCAGGCTCCCAGAGTATTTGAAGTCATATTTAACTTAGTGGTGTGAAATAAGATGTGCAACCTGATTTTTTTTACCTAAAAAACTTTTTTCCGAGGCAGTATTTCTCTCATTTACCGGCAATGCGAAACTCCTCGTAAATTTTGCCTCTTTTTATATCAATTTTTTACTACAACCACGTAATGAAACTTTTTTTAAAAAGCGTAAACTTTATTTCGATATATTTATATATACATAATTCCTATTTTTACGGAGCGTTTTCATGTTATTGAAGACTTTTATTTATATTCCAGGTACAACGAGCACTGGATAGAACGTCAAAAGAAACTGAGGACCGCGATCTACGTCCAATTCGATTTATTGTATTTTATTGTTCACTTGCCACGACACCCTGGAATAAGTTCAGACAAACAGGGGTCACTCCACATAGTGAGCCCATCAGAAGAGTTTTACCAGTGGAGAAACCACAGGGTTTTTTCTTCTGGCTGGTATCGTCTTAGGGTCATCTCGAACCCATTGGGGGGGGGAGTGGTCTGTAGTGCGCACACTTCCCCAAAATCAATAGCTTACGGTTCGACGACACTCATCATTGATGCTGACCTTGATAATTTAACTGGACTCACTAAGCTGAAGGCACCCGGTCAAGCATCCTCGCCATTTGGCATCCTGTCGTGTTACGTTGCACTGCTCGTATTCGACACTCTAGCCAGTTAGTTGGAACGCATCGGTATCTTGGCACAACCACCCAAATATACTATTCCATCCGACTACGCTATTGTGTTCTTCCTTGGTCTCGTATTCGTGGGTATATAACAAGTCCGAATAATTAGTGATTGGTTTTTGCGTCTGTCAAGTTTGAAACCGGGACAAATCCTGAAGATCATTATGGCTATCAAACAGTGAACATTTTTACCTTTGTGAAATCAGCAACAACCAATTTTGTTTCCACATTGTACTTAACTGATAATTCACTGGAAACTGAAAACATTCTATCTTCATCTCTATCAATGAGCATAATGTTCAAACCATCTTTTGCTAATTCTTCTGCATATGCTTTACCAATCCCTGAAGATGCACCAGTTATAATAGCCCAATCACCAGCACGTTTGAGTAGTTTTCGTTTGGAACAACAAACTTTTCCCAAAGAATATTTAAATAAGATGATCATTAAACGCAGAACTTTTAAATTGGCGTAGAAGGAAATTAAGACTATAAGGAATAGCCACCAGTCCTCCAAGATTTTCGCGACAATTCCTGAGAAATTCTAATGATAAAAGTAAGAGCATTGAAAGGGAAGAGTGAGATAATGGCGACTTGTGTTGAAAAACAGTATACTGTCTCATTCTTGTGTCATTTTATTACAATGTGTGAACTCACTTCATGTGATTATGGTAAGAGTATTTAATTTCAACTCACTCACTTGTGTACCAATACCAAAGATTATTTTTCAAAGATATTGAATCAAACATAATGTTCAAGCAGTCAGATTGTGATAAATATCCCTTCTCCAATTGGACAACATTCGATGTCCACACATGCACTGCATTAACGTACATCTGACATTCGAGAATACCTCACTTCATTGTAAACTTGTCACTCATGGTCTCGTCTGACTTGATGCTGAAATCTGCACAACAGAAAAGTAGAAGCTGAGAGAACAGCAAGCCACCATCATCTTCATTCTCACCCACAAATCTTCATCCTACTGAGCCGTCATCTTATCATCCTAGTCAACTAGCGAATGACGTTGAAAATCTTTCCATTGATCAAAATGTCTGTCAGAGACCATAAAATACGTATTTCTGCATCTTGTTCTTATTTAGTGTGTTAAATATGTGGAACATCCTGAAGTGATGAGTAACCGTTCACAATCTATGAGGTTTGGAAATATGTGGCTAGAGATGATGCGGCTCCATTTTCGTCTTGTTTAACAGAATCTAGTTAAATTAAATAATTTTGTACTTCAAGTATGCGCGTGCGCTCTGAATAGGAGAAGTGAATTTTTCCATGCTTTTTACATTTTTGCTTTTGTCGTGTAATCCACATCAAAGGTTTCTCATAAACCTTGACTTGAAGTACTTGAGTTAGTGTGTGAAGTCCAATCATCTTTTGAGGCTTAAGAATGGTCTTTGTGGTGTCACAAATGAAGTTCCCTTGTTGGAATTTCGACCGAGTACTTCAATTAGCACACCGTGCCAGTGAATAACATGGTCAGCGACAATCATGTTTACGGTAGTCCCGGCTGTAAATCTCCAGTGGATGAAGCCATGCAGTGTGATGCATGTGGATGTTGGTTCCAAAAAGTTTGTTCAGGATTGACACCAACCATGCACAAGCATTGCAGCAAACCAGCTTCTCCCTGGTTATGTGATTTCTGCTGCAAGCCGTTGCGAACCCTCATCCAGAAAGCTTTTGGAAATTTACTCGTCCAAAAACAGCTATGTGGTAATGAGAGCTGTCATTCTAGTGCGGCATCAGATGATGACGCTGCAAGTGTAATCATTAATATGTCTGACACAGGACCTCTAAGTGGACTATTGGATTCTAGTGATCCAACTGGTGAACTTACACTAGTTCCGAAGCGTTTTCGACGCAAGAGGAAACCTAGGGCAAATGGTAAACCAACCATAATGCCCGAAGAATCACAAGAAGACTGCGTCTCTAATAACAGCGTTAACTCCGTGAAAGTGGTCGACGAATCTACATAGATTTCTCCAAGAAAGTATCCGAAGAGACTGCGAAAGGTTATCACAGAGGATACCAAGCTTATGAAACCTGTTGAGAAGGCTTCGAAGGCCGTCAACACACAACTCAATGATTCCACTCCAACACCCAGTTTAATCTTCTGGAATGTTGAGCAGCCGTCAGACAAAGATGCTTCAATACGTCGCGGCCATAATCAGAAACTGGTCGAGTTGGCCGCCGGACTTGTTCTGCCTGAAAAGACTAAAGGTGCACACGTCTCCAAATTAAGCTAGGTAAGAAAACAGAAGAAACGCCTGGTGAAAAGTGAATTTAAAAGGTCGTTTTAGGCAACAAAATGATGTGAATGTAATCTTGAGTAACGCATCTAAACTACGAAATTCGGGTATCCGCATCCAACCCGACCGGCCCCTCGAGGACCGCATAAAAAGAAGAGAAGCTGTCGCAGAACTTAAGGCTCGACAGGCTTATGGAGAAAATTATCTTAAAATAATGGGCCTTCGGGTTGTGAGGTCCTGAAAGCGAATGCTAAGTAGTCTACACTGATGCTCCAGTATTGGAAGTAAAATGACAGACCTCGAGACTCTGATCTGCAAACTACGTCCTGACATGATAGTCTTTACTGAAACCTGTTTAATAAAGGTTTTAGATTTTACGCCACTCCTCACACGGTATTGCCGTGTAAGGACGGATAGGGTTTGGGTCACAAAGGTGGCGGCATACTAATATGTGTCCGAGATAACGTCCACATACGATTAGTCCCTTCCGATAAACATGAATGCGGGACCTGTGAGGTGACCATTGTGAGCTGAAGTCAAAGCAAGGTTTCTGTACTGTCGGGGTCATTTACCGCAGTCCATCTTGCCTTGCAAATGACTTCGTGCTAACCCATATACGTAAATGAAGTAGAAGTAACAGATGCCTAACAGTTGGAGATCTGAATGCCCCACGCATAAACCGGACGGAGCTAACAGTCTATATATCTGGTAGTTCCTTCGAAAGTAACTTACTGTTGACGGTATTGGAATCAGCTTTAGTTTCAAACATAAAATGTGCAACACATTATAATTTTCAACACAAGCCATCGTTATTAGGCTTAGTTTTAACCGATCAGCGTAGGGACATTCTGGACCCACTAAATTCCTCCACTAGCTAGCAGCGGCCATGTAGTACTAACCTTTGGTTTTCGGACTAATGAGTTTGGTTATGATACTGCCTCCCCCAGACCTAATGCATGACGTGCAAACATTTCAAGTATAAGGGACTGCGCAGTCAGTAAGGATTGGACCGTTGACAAGGACTCATCAATTGGGAATGCATGGAATACGTTAAGAAATCTATCTGAAGAGGTGACGATGTCATTTATTCCATGTTTGACTCCGCGACAATCGTCTCACCACCCTCCGTGGTTTGATAAAGACATTAAGAGACTATTAAGGCGGAGTAAACGTTTATGGAACTTGTTTCCAGAGACTAGACTGGAAACATTTCGGACTGAGTACTGTCAAGTCCGTAATCTATGCAAGACTTCGATTACACTGTCTCAAGTGTTATATGAGAAGTAGCTCGCGAAGGACTGACGAAATCGCTCTAAAAGGCCGTTGGCATTCATTAGAAGGAGGACTAAAAGAAAAGATAGAATTCCCTATCTGGTGACGGATGATTAGTCCGATAGTCTGGCGGAATCGAATCTGTCGAAAGCTGAATGTCTATCGGATTACTTTAGTTAAGTCTGCTCTGCAGATCATGACGATGAAGTGCTAATTAGTGGTGTCAATGCCATTCCACTAATAGATACTGTGTTCACAACAAAGTAAAGAGTCCTACAGTCGCTCATTAACTTAAACCTGGAAAATCCCCAGGTCCCGATGAGTTACATCCCAGACTTCTATCTTCACTAGCAGACATCATTGCTGAGCCAGTCACGGATATTTTCACTATGTCTCTAACTCATACTCGTCACCCTAGAGACTAGAAAGATGCCATAATCAGCCCAGTTTTTAAGACCGGTAGCCACCATTGTTGTGCCTGACCAGAACAGTTAAGACTTTAAAAAAATAATTTGTGACAAGATACCCAAATATACTGAACCAACCAATCTTTCGGCACCACAGCAACACGGTTTTCGTACTGGGCATACCGTCAAACTAACCTCCTTGTCGTAAGAGAAGAATGAGTTGCAGCCCGTGATTGCAAGCTGCCAATAGATGCCGTGTTTACAAACTTTAGTAAGGCATTCGACAAAGCGTCGCATGTGAAATTACCAGGAAAGCTTCATTGCAAGCCTGACCCAGGGGCCTTTTCTACGACAAAAAGCGAAAAGTGAGGGTATATGGGATACCATTCGGATGGAAACCTGCAATCAGTGGAGTTCTTCAGGAACAATCCTAGGTCCACTACTTTTCTTGTTACATATCAACGAATTGCCGAAAATGCTCAACTCTTCGGTAATGTTATTCGCCAGTGATGTAAATATTTGGGGAGCCACACGCAGTGATGCAGGTAGATTTGCACTTCAGGCGGATTTGGATGAACTAGTAAGTTGGTCCAAATGCTGGTGCCTGGAAATCAACTCTAAAAAAGTGCAATAGTGCACATTGGTCATGGTAATGTTTCCAGTATTCCACTGATGGTACGCCATTACTTCCAGTTTTTGAGCCAAAAGACTTAGGCGTCATCACTAGTCATGATTTGGAAACCTCGGCAAACTGTAATGCAGTTGCAGAAAGCGGCTTCCGCGTATTATGGTCCTCCTGTAGGGCTTTCAAATGTTCTGATGAGGACATGTTCAGAATACTCTACTTACCTCGCCTGGTTAACTAGTTCACTAGTTACCACCCGGTCCTAAGCCCGGGTAAAGAAGGAAGGCTGGGCATGGGGCTGGCAACCCTATCCCGTAAAACAAATCCAACCACTATAGAAACTTCAAATCACAAACAAAACATAAAAAAACAATATTATTCCCCATTGCAATCGTACAGGTGAAATGACGCCGGTCGGTGAAAGCCTTCGGGAAGCCAATTGGCAGATGTAGCTTCTCTCGATGAAAGCGGAAGTAAACGTGGGAACATGGAGTGTCCGCGCAATGTTTGAACCCACTGAGGCTGCCCAGATTGCAAACGAGATGAGAAGGTATAGCATTGAAATGTTAGGAATCTTAGAAAGCAGATGGAATGAAAGTGCACTCTCAAACTGTCAACTGGAGAATCAATAATCTACTCTGATATTCTCATCCAGATGACAAACACCAGCACACTAAGTTATGGAGTGGCAATCATGGTGTCCACAAGAGCATCGAAGGCTCTCATGCAGTGGGAACCAATCTCCTCCACTATCAGGATCATGACAGCGAGATTCAACTAGAAGGAAGGAAAGTCACAATCATTCAATGCTACACTACGCCACACACAGATGAGAGAAGAAGACGGAATTCTACAGACAACTGCAATCAACACTGGACAAGAC